GGGCAAGTTATTGCGTCATCATCCCAAAACTGTCATCAATCGAACTTCTTTCTGCAATGATGTCACAACCCCAGATATATATATACACACACACACAAACGAAGCCAAAACCCTTCACACACACATTTAGATTTTTTAAATGTACCCTTGTGGGGCCCTCCCGTCTGGATCAAAGTTTTGTTACTTTTTATATCACTGTTGCACCACCTATCATTGTCAAAGCGCATTATATTACATCTATAGTTCCACACCTTTTCACCTGTCAAACAGGTAAACTGACATTTTGAACTGTGATTCACCACATCCACTTTGATGCTGTTGTATGACCTCATGGGACCCTGAAAAGACACTGAAAAATTAATAATTGCAACTGTTTCATTTCATTCATTCATTTATTTATTTCTATAGCGCTTTACACAACCACAGTGCTGGTGACCAAAATGCTTCACAGAGTCAGTGATTAACACGACAAGTTAAAAACAAGAAAACACAACAAAATAAAACTAAAACCAGAAATGTCACCACATATTAAGTACTAAAAGCCTGTTGGAATAAAAAGGTCTTAAGCTTCGATTTAAAAGGGCCAAGTTCAGTGACCAAACGTAGATCAAGAGGGAGTTGATTCCAGAGACGAGGTGCAGCCGCAGAAAATGCACGGTCACCCCAACATTTATATTTTGTCCTTGGACCAGAAAGCAGGAGCTGGCTATCTGACCTCAGAGACCTAGACCTATTTGTTTGGTTTTAGAGACAAACTTCACGTGAATGAACCTCACAGGTCTTGTGTCTGTCATGTATGTCATCTGTACTCTACATATATATATATTATTGTATTTTGACTTGATCAAATTGTTCACATGTATTTTGTCAACAGAATAAGAAAGAAAAGTCACGATTATATGGAAGAGCAGCTCTCCAGCTCTTTGTGTCAGGACATCCTGAAGGATCCAGTCTTTACCTGTTACTCACAACCATTCTGCAGAGAGACTGTCACCTCATACTGGGACCAGTCTATTTCAGCAAAACAGTCTTCTAATCCCAAGAGTCAAAAAAGATCAAGAATCAAAACTGGACTGCAGACAGCCAATCAGAGCAGCTCTGCAAACTGTAAGACTTGAATATCTGTTTACTGATAAACTCTTTTCTAGAATTATTTCAGTGTTAAACTAATGTCAGCTAGTTTTATTTATCCATATTTTTTGTTTTTCATCAGCTGCAGATCTGCAGGAGACTTTAGATGAACATAAGATCAGTCTGAGGAGGAGATGTGAACGTGTGGCTGAAGGAATTGATGAAACAGGAAGTAGAACCCTCCTGAGCAGGRTCTACACTGAGCTCTACATCACAGAGGGGCAGAGTGAGGAGGTTAATACGCAACATGAGGTGAGGCAGCTGGAGACAGCCTCAAAGAAGAACCTCCACGACTCTCCAATCAGGTGCCAGAACATTTTCAAAGCCTTAACTGAACAACAGGAAGTCATCAGAGTGGTCCTGACTAACGGTGTCGCTGGTGTTGGAAAAACCTTCTCAGTGCAGAAGTTGACTCTGGACTGGGCCGAGGGCTTGGAGAACCAAGATGTCAGTGTGGTGGTTCTGCTTTCATTCAGGGAGCTGAACCTGATCAGAGATGAGCAGTACAGTCTTCTCACACTGATCCATGTTTTCCATCCATCATTACAAAAACTCCCAGCAGAGACGTTGTCTGTTTGTAAACTTCTGTTCATCCTTGATGGTCTGGATGAAAGCAGACCTGCTCTGGATTTTGAGAACAGTAATGTTGTTTGTGACGTCACACAGGAGTCATCAGTTAACGTGCTGCTGACAAACCTCATCAAGGGGAACCTGCTTCCCTCAGCTCAGGTCTGGGTAACGTCTCGACCTGCAGCAGCCAATCAGATCCCTCCTTCATATGTCGACAGGATAACTGAAGTACGAGGATTCACCGACTCTCAGAAAGAGGAATACTTCAGGAGAAGATTCAGTGATGGAGAGCTGTCCAACAAAATCATCTGCCACGTGAAGACCTCCAGGAGCCTCCACATCATGTGTGGAATCCCAGTCTTCTGCTGGATCATTGCCACAGTTCTGGAGCACATGTTGACCACAGAGCAGAGAGGAGAGCTGCCCAAGACCATGACTGACATGTACTCACACTTCCTGCTGGTCCAGACAAAGAGGAAGAACAACAAATACCATGAAGGACCTGAGACAAGTTCACAGGAGCTGTCAGAGGATGACAAGGAAGTTCTTCTGAAGCTGGGCAGGTTGGCTTTTGAACATCTGGAGAGAGGAGACATCATGTTCTACCAAGAAGACCTGGAGCTGTGTGGTCTGGATGTCACTGAGGCTTCAGTGTACTCAGGAGTTTGTACAGAGGTCTTCAAAAGAGATTGTGTGATCTTCCAGAAACCAGTTTACTGCTTTGYTCATCTGAGTGTTCAGGAGTTTCTGGCTGCAGTCTACATGTTCCACTGTTACACCAACAGAAACACAGAGGTGATCGGGAACTTCCTGCAGGACTTCATAAAAGAAAGCTGCCATTGTGACCCAAACACGGATTTGATTTTGGAGTTTTCTAAATCTCCCCTGTCTTTGGAGGATTTTCTGAACTTAGTGATGCAGAAATCCCTGAGAAGTAAAAATGGCCACCTGGACCTGTTTGTTTGTTTTCTTCATGGCCTTTGTTTGGAGTCAAACCAGAGACTCTTAGCAGGCCTGGTGGCAGCTAAGACAAAAAACTGTCTAGAAAATACCCAGGAAGTCATCAAAAATACAAAAACCATGACAACAATGGATCRTGTTTTACAAGCTAAGGAGAATTTTAAAGACTTGTTGAAGAAAGTCAATGTCATGTCAACTCGACGACACTCTAGTTTCAYTTTCCCTCATGACCTCTCAGAAGAGTCCTATCCACAACTTACAGATGGTCAGATGAGTCGGACAGACATCACTCCAGATATTATCCAGAAAGTCATCAAAAACCTAAAGGAGATGAACACAGATGAAAAATCTCCTGACAGAAGCATCAACATTTTCCRCTGTCTGTTGGAGATGAAGGACATTTCAGTAAATCAGGAGATCCAAGACTTCCTGAAGTCAAAGAACAAATCAGAAATGGAACTGTCAGAAATTCACTGCTCAGCTCTTGCCTACATGGTGCAGATGTCAGAGGACATTTTGGATGAATTGGATTTAGCGAAATACAACACATCCAAGGAGGGACGACGAAGACTGATCCCAGCTGTGAGGAACTGCAAGAAGTTTGTGTGAGTCCAATGTTTCTGTTATAGTATATATAGCATTTCTTTATGTCTCTGGACAGCATGACATCACCGTTACTAGTTGATGTGACAGAACTACTTGTCCGATAACAACACATTCCTAAACACCCCTCTAAAATTCTCTCCTTAACTGGTGCAACCCAAATCAGCCTTACTGGTTGACTGGTTAAAWCTTTGTATGTCTTGCTGGTTCCACTTACTGTGAAAGTGGGCTAATTGACTGGTACACCTAAAGAGATTTCTCAACAACCCTGAATATGAACTAATTTGCTTCACCTGCAAAACAAAGCAAATTAAATAATAAGAAGGATAAGAAGGAAGCATCAAACTGTTTTTTTTTCTTTAATTTGTGGCAGACTGACTTTCTCTGGACTCACCAAAACTCACTGTAAAGTCTTGGCTTCTGCTCTGAAGTCCAACCCATCCCATCTGACACAACTGGACCTGAGCTACAACAGCTTGCAGGATTCAGGTGTGAGCTTTCTGTCTGCTGGACTGGAAAGCCCCAACTGTAGACTGGAAACTCTAAGGTCAGTTTGTTGTCTGTCACTGATGTTGTTTTAAAATCTAAATGAACTTTGCACAAGAAGCAAGTAAATGTGTTAGGTTGATTATTTCTTTGTCGTARCAATGCTTCTTGGCAATAAATCTTGTACCCTTGAAAAGTCTGTTMATTTCCCTTTTAAATGGAGCCACATTTGTAAGGAACATGCATTTGTGGGATGAGCAGTAGATCTGAGTATGTGGCTTGCGCACAAGCAAAACATTGCCAAACACTCTCTGCTATTGCGCCAAATACCTTATTCTGTCATTGATTCATTTGGTGTTTGGTGGACTGGATGATTGAAGATTGAAGAAACAATTGGCAATTTAACAATTTATTCATTTAACATACAGGAGCCACAGCAGTGTGTGGAAGAACCATACACAGCCACAACAGCCTGGCACCTCCACCTCATGTTGGTCACCAGCCTGGACACACAYTGCTGTGTCCTGCATTTGYCACAAGYCAGCCAMTGTTGTTGTATTGGTCACTCTGGCACCAACAGCCCAAGCTGATCCCACTAGTGTTCAAAGAGGTTGAGGTCAGGACTTCTGGCAGACCATTCCATACTCTTCACTCCCAGATTCTGGAAGTAGTCTCTGATAAACCATGCTCTATGGGGGTAATGTTGTCATCTTGGAGGATCGAGTTCTGTCCCAGACTGTGGAGGTATGGGATTCACTTGCAGTATGTCATCTTCATATCTCTCTGCATTGAGATGACCTCCAGTGACAGTGACAAGCCTTGTTTTTCCAGAGAGAAAGATGCCACACTACACCATCACACTGCTTCCACCAAAGGATGTTACTCTATCGGTGCTGCAATCAGCATAATGTTCTCCACATCTTCTCCACACTTTCACACTACAATCCAGCAGTTTAATTAGCAATGATTATACTTTTTTATTATAACAGTTTAATTACGCATCAAGCTTTGTATAGATTCATCATCAAGCAACAATTAAATAATGAAGTTTTCACCTGTGATTGTTTTAATGGTGATCATAGTAAATCTAACTTCTTTATAAATGACCACGAAAAAGACTAAACACATAAATAATATCCACACTGGAGTTTGGAACAGCGGGTCAAAAACTTGYGCTGGAACGCTATTTTTATGCAAGAGATGCTGAGTAAAGCAAACGATTTAAGTAACGTAGTTAACAACAAACTTTATTTTGAGGGGAAAAATAAAGAAAATAAGACATTTCCTCATCTGGCAGCATTTTCTCCAAAGCGACCTGTCAGCAGCGCAGCAACAAACTGCAGCTTCATTTGGACAGCAACAATAATGACAAACTCCAATGCAATTATTTGTCAACACTGGCAGGAAAAGTTATCTGCTCTGGGCCRAATATAGGTGAGCATTTGGACCAGACCTGTAAAGGATCACGGGCTCCTTTATTATTATTTTTTTCTCTCCACAACCCGTCAGCTTGGATCTGGAAATCGGATGGTTTCGCACAGGTTTGAGCCAGAGATGTGGCACAAAATATAAAATTCTTATTTTATTTTTAAGCTGATTTGGTCGACCCAGATGGGATCAGATCAGAGCCAAAACGTTCTTTGCACGTGTCAGGCAGGCTCATGATCAGCCGGACCCAGAGCTGGAGAATTTGCGTAAACTCTCCGACTGTTCTCCACACAGGTTGTACTGCTCCCCATTTAAATAATTTATTCACTTATTATCAGGAGCTCGTTCTCATTTTCAAATCATTGTACAAGTTATGAACTGTACTGCCTTTTGGAGAATACTTCACCAGAAGTGTAAAGGAGATAAACTCCAGCCTCCAGCTTGCGACGCGTGCGCGCATCATCAGCTGAGCGCTGCGCAACAAAACCGAGCCATGTGGATCTGGTGACTTATAAGCAGATTTCGTCCTGATCTTAATGCTGTTGGTTTTGTCTGTGCCTCTGTCTGCAGGTAGACAGAGAGACATTCGTCAAAACTTGTCGGCATTGGGTGCAGCCTGTAAATGTCCGTGGGACCAGCTGATGGGCAGGGCCGTAAAGTGGGGACGGGGGAATGGCCCCCTGGACCCCCCTGTTCTGGCGCCAGTGATGCACATTGACCATGGCAGCAGGGCCCATGCTCACAGGTGCTGTCAATCAGGCACCTGGGGGTACCAGAAGCTCAAAACAAGTATCTGTAAATAGGGTAAATTTAGCTATTTAGCAATGGCAGAGAAGATTTAGCAATTTTTTTATGTGCGCAACCCACTTACTCAGCTCTGTGTAGAACTGTGTTTTGTGTTAAAAATGTTAGACTGAAGAAGATCTTGAAAGACATGAGTAGTGATGAGATTCTTAAGCTATAAATTTTGTTGAACTTGTGTATTTCTTTCAGAGGTGTTGTGTAAAGAAAAATCCTGTTTGAATGGCAAAAGCAATATAATGATCACGTGACACCGAATACAGACAAACATGGATTGAATAACGTGAATTATATTGTTTTGTTTTGTTCAGGTTAGTAAAGTGTGATTTGTCAGCGACCAGCTGTGCCTTTCTGGCCTCAGCTTTGAAGTCCAATCCTTCCCATCTGAGAGAACTGGACCTGAGTGACAACAAACTACAGGATTCAGGAGTGAAGCACCTTTGTGGTTTCCTGGAGAGTCCACAATGTAGACTGGAGACTCTGAGGTCAGATGCTTTTTTTTTTGGTTGTTGTTGTTGAGTACTGAGCTGGACACAATATTTTACCTTTGTAGACAGTTGAATGAAATTTTACTGATAATCTGTTTTACGCTATACAATACTTTCACCGAGGGCCACATGAGCATCACGGTGGCCCTCAAAGGGCCAGTTGTAGTTAACTTTGACGTTTCATTTTTAAATTGGACTAAACAGTGTTTTAACACGTGTCTTACAAACACTGAAAAGTACAAAGTGTACGACTGAAATACAGATAAACTATTAAAAGTAAAAGTAAGAGAGTTTTACTCACTGTTGAATTGTAATGAGTAGTTGCCACCTTGAAATTTTAAATTTATTTTTTGACATTTCACCRTAAATTTAAAGCTAAGAAACAATTTTTCAAAATGTTTGTAATTTTTGTTTATTTTATTTCATTTGGTGTCTTGAGTTTGACATGTGTTATAAGCGGTGAAGTGCATAAATTGCTAAAAAATTTATTTACAATTAAAAAGAAACATTTTTATTCCACTCTACCAGAATTCAAAGCGATGTCTTTAAAGTTTTTTTCCTCAACCCCCCCCCCCCCACACACACACACACACACACACACACACGCTCACACACTCTCTCTTTTTCTTTTTTCTTCAGGTTAAGGAGCTGCAGTTTGAGCGAGACCACCTGTGGTCTTCTGATCTCAGCTCTGAAGTCCAACCCCTCCCATCTGAAAGAACTGGACCTGAGTACCAACAGGCTGAAGAAGACGGGAGTGGAGCAGCTGTTTAATCCTGTGACAAATCAAGAATGTAAGATGTAAATTCTGACGTCAGTAAAGTGTCAGAGTCAGTTCATGCTGCATTTAACAGAATTTTACTGAAAACTATTAGGAACTATAGCTGGGTAACGTGAAAGCCTCACAACATTTATAATGATGTTGGTTCTTATTTATCAAAGTGTTTGAGCAGTATTTTTTATGTTCATTTCTGTTTTTATTGGAAATTTTATATAGCTGCAAAGATTCAATGAAATAATGACAAAGCACCTCTCTTCTTTGTTTGACAAACTGCAAAATAAAATTCATTTACGTTAGCTCAAATACTTATTTCAGCTTGTTTAGGCCTTATACATATACACAGACTGCTACAACCCCAGTTCAAAGAAAGATGGGACGTTGTGGAACMTCTACCATAAAAGAGATATAAATAAAACCATATTTTATTCACAACAGAACTTTACCCTCAGTGTGATCAGTCCAACATTGAGAGCTGAGAGGAAGCTGGTGTTGTGAACTTGCTGCATGTCATAATTATGTGCTAATGAAAAAAAAGAGAGCCTGGAAATATTAACATATCTTCTTTGTTGTTCCTTCTTCGTTTTACGACCATCGTGGCCTTCCTGAAGTTGAGACTGACTGAACATTGGGTTGATGGAGATGAAACAACAGCTTCGACCAGCATGGAGTGACAGAGGAATCTTCAGAGTGGAGWTGACTCTCAGTGTTGAGAAAAGTCACTATTGTACGGTTTGATGTATGAAGTGATAGTCTACGGGGCACCAAGTGTAAAATGAAATGTTAAAAAATTTCACCAACATATTTTTCATTATTTAGCTCACTTTTTGAGTGTTTAAAATTTACCACTAACATTTTATTGTTATTTAGCTCACTGTTCTTACGTATAGTTTATTTTTGCTAAACATTTAATTTAAATGTTAAAAAAATTTATTTAAATCTTAAATTGAAATATTTAAATCTAAATGTATAAATTAAATCTTAAATTATGAAGTTCAAATTTAGATATTTTGAAATGGAACGCAGCCTTTGCTGTTGGTGCTCAGCACATTATGATGTCATCATCCTGAGACAATAGCAACCGCTGGCGCTCCAATGCAGCTAAACCCTCACTACGACATCAAACTTGCAGATGCAATTAGTGTTTGAGCTGCACTTCAAACTGCCTGATGAAATGCACCACCCATATTTTTTTATGAACACAGTTCGAATTTAGATATTAGATTTTATCTTTAGCAGTGTTAGAGGCATTAGCAGAAGATAGCATCAAATAACCAGAATGATGTCAGCTAGCTGCTGAAGATACTATTTAAAATCTAAATTCAAAATGTTTATTAAAAACAATATGGGTGGTACCTGTGGTACAGCAGTTTGAAGTGCAGCTCAGACACCATCCATAACTGCAAATTTGATGTCTTGTAGGGAAGCTTTAGCTGCATTGGAGCGCTACCGGATGCTATCGTCTCTACATTTAGGTTTAGGATTTAATATTTACATATAATTTTTAACATTTAAATTTAACATTTAGTAAAACAAAAACTTAAATATAAGAGTGAGCTAAATAACAATAAAATGTTCAACCTGACGGTGAAGTCAGTGATAGATTCTCAAAATTTGAAGATTGGCTGTTAAACAGCTTAAAATGTTTCTGTTGGTTCATTTGTTTTCTAATTATAGGCCTATTTCTTTATTACCGCACTTTTCTAAAACTTTGAAGACATTGTGATTAGATTGGATTGCTTTATTGATAGGTATAATATTTTGAGTAATAGTCAAAATGGTTTCAGAACTCACCATTCAACGTCTTCAGCACTTGTTAATTTAACTGAACTGATAACTACTGATGCGGATCAAAAGAAAATTTGTGTTACTGTGAATATTGATTTAAAGAAAGCCTTTGACATTATTGACCACAGCATTATTGTCAGCAAATTTAACAACTATGGTGTGAGAGGTTTGGCTTCACAATGGGTGTCAAATTATTTAGCAACTAGAAAACAATTTGTACAAATAAATGATGTACGTTCGGTTTTTGATGTAGTTACTTGCAGTGTCCCACAGGGCTCTGTGCTTGGTCCTAAATTGTTTCTTTTATGTCAATGACCTGGTAAATGTGTCAAAAGTTGTTCAGGTGTGTTATTTGCAGATGACACTACTTTTTGTTTAGGTAATGTTCTAAATCACGAGCCCATTGTCATGCCCCCCGCGTCAACATAATGACGCTTGACCAAGCGTCATTATGTTGACGTTCTGTAGATGGGGCAGAGGAGGACGATGTTTTTACAAGGCTCGAATTGTGCAAAACTAACCGTCCTAGACCCGAAATTTAACTTCTACTAGCCTTATAGAGCCTAACCCTGACCACAGACTCTAAAGTTAACCATGAACCCTGATCGCTCATGTTAACCACAGACTAAAGTTAACCAGTAACCCCTAACCTCATGTTAACCACAGACCCTAAAGTTAACCAGTAACCCCTAACCTCATGTTAACCAC